CCAGCCAGCCCATCGTCCTTTTCTCCGCTGGCCCCAGAAGATACCTCAGCTCACCCTCAGCACGCCAAGACTGGTGGATCAAATGAGCTTCGGTATCTCCAGTTGCCAGCTACCTCAGGGTTGGAGGATCCCCTGTCTCCGCCTCCAGCCTCCGAGACCCGGACTCTACCTTGGTCCTCTGACCCATCGCCTCCACCTTGGCCCCTGGCTCCCTTGTCTCCACCGTGGCCCGTCATCCCACTGGCTCCAGCGGGTTCCCTCATCCCTCCGCCTTGATCAGTCGTTGACCTTCCTCCACTACTATGATTCTACTCCTACAGCTTTGCCTTGTCCCTCAATCCCTCTGAAATTTCCATGAAAAAGAAAAAAAGGGCTTTAAAGCAGCTTCTTGTGACGATCCATGGAACTAATCAAGATAATTTGAAGCTAATCAAGCTCATTTGGAGCTAATCAAGAAAAAAAAAGTATCACGAAAGTATTACTATTCCAAGTCTTCTGAAGCCATATGATAAGGCTGTGTAAGAAACAGGCCAAAAATAATGTTATTATTTACTAAACATTTTACCTTCACTGCTATCAAAACAAATATGGTGCAGGTTTGATGTCATTGTGTTTGATTAAGAAACACACAAAACCATAGAGGTTTGATGTTATTGGAGTTCAACTTGACCCATAAACAGTTGAGAGCTAAAGTGGAGGTGAAGATAACCAGCGAAAAATGACTTTAGGGATGCATATGTTCTCATTGAATTTAATTGATGCACCAAGGACAACATGGACCACCTACTCATATGACACAATTATTTCACCAAAACAAGGGTTTGAAACAGATCAAAATAAATGTCTAGCCATTTAGATCACTATAGTAAATCAAAATAATTTTGCATAAATAATAATAATAATAATGAAAAATGTATATATTACTAAAGCATTAATTAACTTAAATTACAATGAATATACAAAATGTAAAAATAAATTCAAATTCAAAATATTATTAAAAACTATAATAGTATCTCAGTGATACTAAAACAACACTGATAATATAATATAATAATGACAATAACCTATGTTTTTTCCAGTTTAATTATTATTTATAGTTGAAAAGCAGAAATAAAAATGTAATTCTAATTCTGCATATCAGTTATCAGAGATAAAAATAACCTGTATCGTATCAGCCATAAAAAGAAAATATCAGTACACTACAAGCTGATCTGATGTGTGCGGTCATGAAATCAGAGATGATTCACTTGACGAAATCCAATCAGAAGTGGTCACCAGCCAAGCATTTGACACGAGACATGTCAATACCAAGTATAAACTGTAATCCCTCTTGTCTGATCACTTCTGATTGGATCATCCAAGCTGGATGTTAATCCCAGGTGTAAACAGGGTCATATAGATGGATACAGTTGCTGCTTTCCGCCTGATACACTCTCCTCTATCATCATCTCTCCTACATCCACTTTCACCCACATTAACCATACTGTAATCTCAATGTTCTGCTATGTTTGGGGCAGCTCTGTTTAGTAAGGGCTCGAATGAAGGATGATAAACACATGCTACCAGATGTTGTGCTAGAAAAAATTCCACTAGCGGGACCATAAGAGGGTTCTGGGCTGCCTAAGAGGCAGAGCACTCCTTTCCACAAATGTCCATAATGAGTGTTCCCATACTTCCGAAGCTCCCACGCCATATGGCCTTTACTGAGGCAAAGCTGCCTGCGGAGCCCTGTTCACTCACTATGGCCATGGACCACCAGCTTGGAGCGTCTTACAACCAAAAACTCCTCCCTCGATCATGAGCATATCCATGGCAAGTTTGTTCAGATGTAATGTGGAGCAGCTGGCAGGTAAAAAATAATAAAATAAAAAATGTGTGCACTAGAAACCTCAGGCTACTGAAAGCTAGTCTGATCCCCTCTGAAGATGAGACAGCAGTGTGCAGCTCGGTCTCAGTGGTTTGGACTATTTTTACAGCACACAGTGAAGGAGAAAAGTGACGACAAGGTCACCTCTTGCTTTAGGTAGATGAAACTTTGCTATAATGAGATGTGGACACTGCTAGTGGAGCACATCTCATCTCCGACTATTAGAGATTTTCTGTTTCATTCCATTTTTGATCTACACCTGAGCCAGCATCTATGAAAAACAGAAGCCTGTGACCAAAAAAACAAAAAAAACTAAAACGAACAAACAATGAATGACAGCATCCCTCTCCTGGACATTCCCAAATCAAAAAAAAAAAAAAAAAAAAAGCTGTATTGGGGAAAAAAACCTGACCTTGAAAAACCGAAACGGTTCGGTATGAATACGTGTACCGTTACA